CTGAAATCTGGGCGGCAAGCAATCCTGGATGTTGGCCTCTCAAGGAGCTAGAGATTCATGTATGGGTCACATGCAACTGCTGTTTGTGGAGATATATTGTCTTGATATTCTCATTAATCTGGATTGTGTTCAGATTTTGCTATTGCTTTTCAGATGCTTTATTGGTGTCCATATGGTTAGGCAAAGCGCGTGATAGACTTTCCAGCTTCATGTCTTTCACACGGTGTCCAGTGTGAAATTCAGGGGAATTTACAAGGAACTCAGCAACAATATAAGCTAAAACAGATAACTCCATTAAAAAGTGGGCAAAGGACATGATAGACATTTTTCAAAAGAAGACATACAAACGGCCAACAAGGGTGTAAAAAATGCTTAACATCACTAATCATCAGAAAAATGCAAAATTAAAATCAAAACAAGATACATGTTACACTAGTTAGAATGGCTGTTCTGAAAAAGACAAAAATAACAGATATTAACTGGGATGCAAAGAAAAGGGATCACTCTTGGTGGAAATGCAAATTATTATAGTGCAACCTCTATGGGAAGCGGTATGGAGATTTCTCAAAGAACTTAAGATAGAACTATTATTTCATCCAAGAATCCCACTACTGGATATCTACCCAAAGGAAGAGAAATCATTGTATCAAAAAGACACATGCATTCATATGTTTATCACACTACTATTCACAATAGCAAAGATATGGAATCAACCCAAGGTTCTATCGGTGAACAAATAGATAAAGAAAATGTGGTATATATACACAGTGGAATACCATTCAGCTGTTAAAAAGAATGAAATAATATATTTTGCTGCAACATAGATACAACTGACAGAGACCATTAAGTGATACAACTCAGAAAAAGAAAGACAAAAGCCATGTGTTCTCACTTATAGGTGGAAGCTAAATAATGTGTATACATGGACATGGAGTGTAGAATGATAGATATTGGAGACTCAGAAGGATTGGAGGATGGATAATGAGAAATTACTTAATGGATGCAATGTATATCATTCAAGTGATGGATGCACTAAAAGCCCAGACTTCACCACTATGCAATATAGCCATGTAACAAAATTGCACTTGTGCTCCTTAAATGTATACAAATAATAACAATAATAATAATAATAATAATAATAATAATAATAAAGATTTAGGCTCTGTCTACAGCTCTTCACTTCAGAGTTGTCACCTGAATCACCCTTTATGATCCATTTATGGTAATACAGGCTTTGTCAGTCCTGCTCTTTCAAAGTCTCACAGCCTCTGTTCATTACCTAGTTCCAAAGCTGCTTCCACATTTGTAAGTATTTGTTATAACAACACCCTACTTCTGGGTATCAGTTTGTCTCATTTGTGCTACTGTAACAAAATGCCACAGACTGGGTTATTTATAAACAATATAAATTTATTTCTCACACTTCTGAAGACTGGGGAGTCCAAGACCAAAACGCCAATAAATTTGGTGTCTGGTGAGGGCTGCTGTCTGCCTTGTTGCTACATCTTCTGGAGGGGACAAGTGCCGTATTCTTCCATGGTAGAAGGGACAGAAAGGATTGAACAAACTCCCTTGAGCCCTTCTACAAAGGCCCTAATTCTATCCATGAGAGCTCTGCCATATGACTCAATCACTTCATAAAGGACCTACCTCTTAATACTATCATATTGGCAATTAAGTTTCAACATATGAATTTTGGGGGACACATTCAGACTACAGCAAATGACTTTTGTGTGGAGTGTCACCAGCTAAGCACTACCCTATGGACAGCTTCCCGTAACTCCAAAGTCAGTTTACAATGAATCCTACTGGTGCCACCTCTCAGTGACTTCTTTGACATCCAGTGAGACATGGCTGTGCCCTCTCTGATGTGAACTGGATCTCAGTCATGAGTCAGGCATCTTTCTGTACCTTCCATTTCCCCTATACCTGCCATTCTTATATTCTCTAGTGTTCTCTTTATTACTAGCCACTCCAATCCCCTGTTACTAATAGTTTATGTTCAACTTTCCCTCTTTGAGTACTATGTAGTTTGTATCTCCTTACTGGACCCTGACTGATAAGCATGGTAATTTTATTCCTCTACTGTTCTAGAATTACATCACAACTTTCATCATTTTAGAAATTCAGAGTTTTATACAATTTAAATGTGAAAGTGTATTATAATAACATTTCCTTCCCTGAATAGTTATTTGTTGGTACACCAGCTAATATTTCAACCCATTTATTAACCCAACTCAAACTATTTACCTCTAGTTCTGTTCATAGAAGGGAATTTGACACATCAATGAAATGTCAAAGCTTTTTAAGGATTATCTTTACTAACTTTGCTCAAGATTTCACTCCAACTTTCCTCTTACTCATCCCTCATACCATTTATAATCTTTACCATATTCCTGAGCCAGAGTGAGGCTCTAGGTAGATGAAGAGGGAGTCTTATACTTCTTGGTAAAAATTGAAAGTAGAATTTTTAGACAATACCAAAATCTCTCTCCAGCTGTTTGGCTTGTGCCTGCACATAATTATGAAACATACATGAACACAGTTGACTCATATTACCCAAGAACATAATTCCATCCTATCCAAATCTCGCTCTTTCCATCAACACACATAGAAGAGCAGAATCAAGTTTTAAGTGTACTTTCTCATTTTCTTTCCCCAAAGTTAGGTGCCTACATATCCTCTGCTGCTCAACTACTCTTTTTACCTTTCTTTTTCTCTCATTTTACAATTTTTAAATTGTTCCCAACAATACTATTGCTGATTATCAAATGATGCATACTTTTATGCTTCAAACACAAATTATTTTCAAGAAGGTTTTGTTTCTAAAACTTAATTCCCAAACACAATCACTGATGTTTTTACAATAGCTACTCTAAATTCCCAAAGCAAAACTATTTATTAATGAGGCATTTCATTCTTTTAGAGGTTTAGAAATTTTGATTAGCTCTAAATTTAGTCATATTCAAAACTATTTCCATCTAGTTAAGGATAAAATGGAGTATAATTTGATAATTATTTGCAGCTGGATCATAA